CTTGTCCTGCTTCTTGCATCTCCTGCTGTGTTTCTGCTCTGAGTGGTTCACACAATAAAGAGGTTGTTGACCAGGCAACCTATCTCTCCATCTACACACTGATGGTGGGAGGGGGAGCCTGCTGTGTGATATGAATCAGATACTTCCATGATTGGAATACAATGACCTGGCAACACAATCTCTCTCTCTCTTCTCTCTCTCTGTGTCCATGTCTCTCTCTTTTTCAGAACAAGGTTATCAACAGAGATTATCTGGTTAGGACAATGGATGTAGATAGTGAAGACTTTACCTACAATTCATAGCTCAGTTTTCCCTGTATGCCATTTTTACATCATGTTATTACTGTAATGATGGCTATGAAATTAATAGCCAGAGGAAGAGAGCTGCCCTGTGGTATGGACATGATAATGCACAAGTGAGATATTTGCCTTTGTTGACAATTAGTCACTATAATAATTACATAATAATGTCAAGAATCTGCAGAGGACATTAGTATTTTATCTGTAAATCTTACATAATATCACTATAGAGGCAAGAGAAATGATAATATAGTAATGCACCTGCAAAAGTAGGTCATACGATGTTTTATTCTAATGAATTATTTGTCAAAACCCTATATGCTATTATATAGTGTATGTATAATATGTCTAATAAAAATTGAAGACCTTTTTTTCTCTGTAATTTCATCACTGAAGGGGCAGCTGTGGCTCTGGTGGTAGAGCGGGTCCTTTTCCATTTGGAAGGTCGGTGGATTGATCCCTGAGCCCCCCAGCCCACATGCCTTCTTGCACAAGTGCGTATGCAACTGTGAGAAAGCGTTTAGGCATAGATAAAAACACTGTGTGATTTGCGGTAGAAAGTGCTTTGAGTGCTCAATTGAGTAGAAAGGCACTATATAAGAACCAATCCACGTCCCATACTTTATGTTGAGCTCTGGACAAGTCAAATTTTGAATGAACTGCCTCAGAATGCTGTGAATACTCACACTTTAAAGTGCTGAGTGTCACCGAATAAGGACCAGTCTAATAAGTCTATTTAGGTTACGCAGTGTTTTAACTTAGATCTCGCTTTTGTGACTGTCACCACCTATAACAGCATGTAAATTTGCTAATACCTGGGAACATTACATTTAGGCTCGCACAGATCCCACCGGGGTGAGAGACAGCCTGGTTCACCTGTGCCCGACGGATACAGCCACTTAAAACGGCTGGCTGGTCTTTGACAGGCCCATGGCCGATCCTCGGCCTTTCCCCAGCCAGTGCTGAACCTTTCCGTAAAACATTGATACAGATATTTGTCTGAAGCAAATATTAACTCGAGTTTGTTCAGACTGAACGAGCAAGCCACAAGGCCGAAAGTGACACATACAGGCTGCGGTTATTGCTGACTACTGCTGCTGAATATAAAAAAAGAAAAAGATTCTTTAATGGCACTGAAAATGTTTTTATACGAAAAACAAAACCTAAATTCAAATGCCCCTTGATTATTACTATTAGCTCAAATACATTTTGTAAAAACAGTATTTTGCACAATCGGAACAAATCTCTGAGGAATACTTACCAAATCATGTTTGGTAAGTATTCAAATCATATTCATAAATCTGTAACTTGAGCTCAGTTAGGGAAATCGTTTGATTCTGAGTCTTGCACAGGAAGCAGTAATTCGTGTGTTGGATCGGTCAGTATGAGGTTATTAAAAGTTTGTCCACATCACATGCATCATCATCTGAATATAAAACCTTAATGAAGCCTGTTGAGGCTGCAGTAGCCGAGGACGATAACGGGCTCTTACTTTTCTGAGCCGTGGCAGAGTCAATCACTTTACAGACTTTACGGCTTGACTATCCACCATGAATCTTTAGCAATTAGGCAGAGAAATGACGGTGGGGGGGGGTTAGGGGCACTGAAGGGGAAGGCGTGGTGTGTTGGAGGTACGCTATTATATCTCAGAGTGCCAGGTGAATGCACTCGGAAGACTGTAATGTCGCTCAGCGTGTTCAGGAAATGGAACATTTTGGAAAAAGAAGCTCTTTGATCAGTTAAATGTTGTGTGACGAGAACAGTGGCTGGCAGGTTCACCTGAGAGTGTTAAATCTGGCTTGTAGCAGTCAGTAAACACAAGCTGTTTGTGTGAGCACTCTGCCGGACCAAATGAATACTGGAGACAAGGAGCTGAAACTGTAATCATGCTCATACCAGAGCTGCAACATGATAATGATATCTATAAAGCTTTACGAGGTCACTTCTGGTAAGTCACTGGTTACAAACCTGGATGTTGGGACCCCCCCGAGGGGTCATGAGATCAGTATGAAATGTTGCTAGATGTTTGAAATGGAACTTTTTTATCATCTTGGCTCCCTGCAGCTGGTGACCTGGCCAGGTTGTACTCTTGCAGGAGATGCAAGGTGCAAGACAATTTTTTGCAAATATTTTTGCAAAGTACTTTCTGACAGTCAATACATAAGTAATACAATCTTTAGCAAGTCTCTCATTCTGCAGATGACCTCGCACTCCACCATTACAAACTGCAGCTCTCGATATTAATCCTTGTTCTCTGTAGCTTTGATTAAAAACCACTAAATAACTACTACAGTACAAACTCAGATAAGAACTTCTTAGACACCAGTTGTAGTCTAAGAAGTTGGAAGGTTGGATGGAGTAGGTTGGACCATAGGGAAGAAGTACTTCACAGCAAGTGAACTTTCAAAATAAAAGTGCTTGAGGTTTCTTCCTTTTAAAAGGGAGTTTTTCCTTCCCACTGTTGCCAAGTGTTTGGTCAAAGGGGAATCAACTGATTAATGGGATTTTCTCTTTGTTTTTATAGGGTCTTTACCTTACAATTAAAAGTTCCTTGAGGCAACTGTTGTTGTGACCAGGTGCTGTATAACTAAAACTGAATTGACCTCAATAGTCACTGCAGCTGGCCATTAAAAAATTCCCCCCAAAAGGCTGCTTAAACCTCAGTTTTTTACAAGGTTAATTTAAGGGTTTTCAGTGCACAGGTGAGGCAGATCATGTTAGATTTGCATAATCCAGCTAGCAGTTTCCCCCCCTTTTCCAGTCTTTCAACTATTTGAAGTTTACTAATTACTAGTTGTGGCTTGTGGTTACGGTTAGAAAACTGTTGTTATTAGAATGGACTTGTGTATTGGTGGACTGGGCCCACTGAGAGGTAACAGGTCATCAGAAAATGCTCTTCTTTTCCAAACCAAAAATGGTTTCCAAACAAAGTTTGTTTCCCTTTAAAGTACTTCCCACAGACATGTGCTACTCTACATTTTTACTGTCATAACTCCAACAATTAATCTTGTAATTTAGCATAATCTTAAAGGTAAATGCAGCTGCAGACAACACGTTGTTCTGTTTGGTGCAGCTGAAAACACACTCTATAGTGTATCATAAAAATGCTCATTTAAAAATCTAAATTTCACAAATAATTATTTTTATTTTTCAACGGGTAATGACGTCAGACCTGCAAACAAAAACTGGATGATGTAAGTGTATTTTTGTCATGTATTTTTTGCCACACCCTTTGCAGTCCCTATTTAGAAAAAAGTAACATTATTGCTGTTCTCAAATCATCCAAATGTAACTCAAAGATGACATAGTAACTCCTCTGGTTTACAGTCATTTACATGCTAACATTAACAGAAACATTGGCTAAATAACTTCACTTGGTACAAGTGCCAAAAGTGTCAGCCTTTCCATTCGTTCGGTGTCATGATGAATAGTTCACCGACAGGAAACATAACTGTTACTAACTAATGGTGATTTTTTTCCTCTGCACCTTCTCAATATCTCACTTCCTCATCATGAACCAATGACTGCCAAAATGATATAAGCCTGCTGACAACAAGTTACATTTCCCTGTCCTACATTATCTGCTCTGCCGGTTAACCCCCTAATGTCCATCACATTAAACTTCTTATATTGAGGCTAGCCAGCTTCTCAGTTTCAAGGGGGATCAGTGAGCGAAAGCCCTATAGTCCATAAGAGAAAACACAGGAATTAGCCCTAGATTAGGGATCTAAACGGCTATGCAGCCCATGGTGGCTGGAGATGTACTGGTAGGCTGTGTGGGGGCTAATTCAGCCGGCAGTGGGAAACCCCACTTTCTGCCAGGTCATAGAGCAGAAATCCACAGACAACTGACAGGAGCAAACATTATGATGTTAGCTGGTGAAAAACATAGATTTTTTTTTTTTTTGGGGGGGGGGGGGGGCGACAACGTGATGAATGACATTAATTACTCCACAGTTGAGAGCTGGAGAAACAGCCTGGGGCTGATCGAGAAAACACACTGTGGCGGTGGTGGTGCTTTTAGTGCTCAACATGGAGCACGCAGGCAGCAAGGTGCTCTTCATCCGTCCTCATGCCTCAGTGATGGCTGAGGGAAACTACAATACGGAGCGTCCACACGCATCGCTCTGCAAAGACAACACAAAGACGGTGCAGCCGGCGCACGATGTGCCGCTGACACCCGTGATAATCACGAGAACATCGCTCATATTTAGGTCAGCCTGAAAGTAGCCTAATACCATTTTCACATCAGCCAGCCCCCTCCCTCCTCCGACCCCCACACTCCCCGGCCTGATGGATGGACGGCGAGTGAAGCTGAAATATGGGGGTTCCATTTTCATTCCACGAGCAATGCAAGCGCACCACAGCCCTTTATCGCATCATGCCAAAAGCAAAACAGACACACACACGCGCGCGCGATCCACACCACGCCTCGGAATAAACTGACACAAAAAAGAAAGAAAAAACCCCACCAAACATCTGGCACACACTTCGACACACACACACACACACACACACACACACACACACACACACACACACACACACACACACACACACACACACAATAAAACATGCAGCCATATTCCCAGCACGCTGCCATGCTCTGGCAACAAACAAAAAAAATTCTAGGCATTTGCACAAATGGGAGGTGTGAGACGAGCGGAAAGAGGACTCTGGAATGACATTGCGCCTGCTTACTGTAAAATAAATTCCCTCGGGGAGGATGGAGAGCCTCCTTTTTTCCCTCTTGACTCCCCTCCTTTCCGACGTGCGAATTTCCCGAAATTCAGACCATGCAAAACAGGTAGTCAGTCATTCCACCCCTCCGAAGTATTTGGTCCTGCTCGGCGGTAGTGCGAAAGGAGAAGGCACAACCAGCATCCGAGAGAGGAGACAGCCAGCTGTGGGGAGGAAATGAGGAAGGAAGGAAGGAGCGGCCGGGCCGGAGCACTGCGCACAGGAGAGAAGGCAAGGAAAGCGGCAGAGGTGCTCTCTCTCTCTCTCGCTCTCTCTCTCTCAGTTCACAATACAACATCACCCTATCCTTGCTAGACAGACGGACAGACGGCTTGAGTACCAGAGTCCGCAGCGACACCCACTGGTGATGAGAGGAACTACAACATGGAGATGATAAGTTCCACGGAAAGGCAGCAGCAGCTGGAAGAGACAAGCATGTCTCACTTATGTTACTGCAGGTACTTTTGTCTTTTAACAGTATATTTCACTAGAAAAGGTCACATTTTATTCTGTTAAATAGGCCGAAGACACTTATTACACATTTGTGTCTTGATTTAAAGAGTTGGCTATTTTGGGGGTAGAAGACAGCCCTAGAGACTGCCATGTATTTCACACTGGTTTTTATTTTTCTATGCATTTCCATAAATGTCTTTAAACAATCTTCCCACTGGCACCCTGAAGCCTGAAAGGTATTAGTCCCAACAAGCTGCAACTGTAGAAAAGTTTAACTGTTTTCATTAAAGTAAACAAAACATATTTTCCATAACTTAAGAACTTCCAGTGGAAAACAACAAGGTCAATGCTGCCTTGGTTATAGAAAAATTGGAAAGATGATTAAATTATAGATGGTAAAGCTGCAGCACAACAAAGTAAGGGTTTATAAAGTATATTTTGGTTTCCTAATCTGTAAAATTGTACATTCATATTGTTCAGTTGTTTACACAGATGCCATTGTAGGAACAACAAGGAAGCCTGCAGTGCGAGAGCACTAATGGGGTCATTAAGATAAGATGGGGCCTGATTATTTAAGACCTTGTATGTGAGGAGCAGGATTTTGAATTCAATTCTGGATTTAACAAGAAGCCAATGAAGGGAAGCCCAAACAGGAGAAATCTGCTCTCTCTTTCTAGTCCCTGTCAGGACTCCTGCTGCAGAATTTTGGATTAACTGAAGGCTTTTCAGCGAGTTTTTAGGACATCCTGATAATAATGAATTACAGTAGTCCAGCCTGGAAGTAATAAATGCATGAACTAGTTTTTCAGCATCACTCTGAGACAGGATATTTCTAATTTTAGAGATGTTGCACAAAGAAGAAAGCTGTCTTACATATTTATTTAATATGTGCATTGAAGGACACGTCTTGGTCAAAAATCACACCAAGGTTCCTCACAGTGTTACTGGAGGCCAAGGTAATGCCATCCAGAGTAAGAATCTGGTTAGATACTATATTTCTACGATTTTCAGGGCCGAGTACAATAACCTCAGTTTTATCTGAATTAAGAAGCAGAAAGTCAGCGGCCATCCAGGTCTTTATGTCTTTAAGACATTCCTGCAGTTTAACTAATTGGTGTGTGTTATCTGGCTTCATGGATAGAAGCCAGATAACACACACCAATTAGATGGGTGTCATCTGCATAGCAGTGAAAATGTATGCTATGCCTTCTGATGATACTGCCTAGGGGAAGCATGTATAATGTAAACAGAATTGGTCCTAGCACTGAACCCTGTGCAACACCATAGTTGACCTTAGTGTGTGAAGAGGACTCTCCATTTACATGAACAAACCACTGCAGCACAGTACCTGTAATACCTACAGCGTGCTCTAATCGATGTAATAGGATATTATGGTCAACAGTATAGAACGCTGCACTGAGGTCTAGCAGGACAAGCACAGAGATGAGTCCACTGTCAGAGGCCACAAGAAGATCATTTGTAATCTTCACTAAAGCTGTTTCTGTGCTGGGATGAGCTCTGAAACATGACTGAAACTCTTCAAATCATTTTTTTGATATGAAAGGAAGGTTGGAGATTGACCCGTAATCAGCTAAAACCGCTGGGTCAAGAGATGGCTTTTTAAGTAATGGCTAACTACAGCCAGCTTGCAGACCTGTGGTACATGGCTGATTATGTGGGTCCATTTAAGGGAAAATAAACTGGCTTTCTGACTGTATTAAAACCACTTGCCCCACATTGTGTAGGTCACAGACCTAATAAATAAATTCATTAATTAACAAACAATACATTTTTAAAAATACTTCAAAGTTACAGAGAGAGACTAAAATGGATTATTTCCATTGTTTTCCATGTTTTCCATGGTTTGGTCCTTTGACCTAATCATTAACAACAAAGTCTTTTGTGAAAGCATAATAAACCAATATTGCTCCCATGGATTCTGCATGACTGCATAATTTCTAGAATAAACCTTTGCCCACAGTGCTCTTAAAATATATTCTCCTGTATTAGATTTTATACAGTAAGCGTATGTCTCAAATGTAAACTGAGGTGTGCTAATAAGCCAGCTTTAAAATGCCAATAGTTAATACTGAAGGGATCGTTCACTCACAGTATTGGAAAACAAGAAGAGAACATCTCTAAAAGGCAAGTGAATTGCAGAGAGCTGTCTCATATCAATAAGCTCCTCATTTGCTGGTGCAGCTGTTTTGCACGGCTACGTTTTCCTGGGGAGAAGTCTAATTAGCCAAACTTCATATACCTGTGTGAGCTGGAGTGTAAAAACAGAGCGCTATCAAAAACAGCTTTCAGTCAGAGTCAGGAAACATTTTTAATAAGCTGTTTGTTTAAACTGTCTCGACCTGGCTCAGAAACCGTGGCGAAAAAGAGTGAGATGCAGGGAAAAGGTAAAAAAAAATACTTGAAATACTTCAAAAACATGAAAGCAACATAAAACAAAGAAAAAGTCAGTGTTATTAGTAGTGAGGATGTGTGAGTGGATGGGTTAATAGTGTGGTGTTGGAGATGCTAAGTGGTACAAACTAAAAAAAGATGCACGTGAGACAAGAGCTTCACTTGAAAACTGCTTATTCTAATATTGACTCTTGTTTGGTGTGGTTTGTTGGATTGGATGATTGAAATGAAATGGCAATTTTACTATTAATTCATTAACAAACAGAGGGCACAGTGGTATGTTGAAGAACCACACAGGGCCACAAAAGCCTGGCACCTGCTCCTCACTGGTCACCAGCGTTTGTTGCACACTGCTGTGGGATGACATCCCAGTCTTCAATCAGTATTTGTCGACAATGTCATGACAAGTCAGCCAATGTGGATGTGTTGGTCACTCTTGCATGAACATCACGCCCAAGCTGATTCCACAAGTGTTCAGTGAGGTTGAGGTCCGTGCTAAGTTTACATGGCTAGCATCTACATGGCCTTTGGAATGAAAATGTGTGGCAGCCTGGGCCGGTTCTAGACAGGCAGAGAGAAATGTAAATATTAACAAAACTTAAAAAAGTAGGCCAAGTTACAAAGAAAAAGGCAATAAACCAAGTCTTGAAAAATAAAACTGAAAAATAGAAATACAGAATAAAAAAAAAATCTCCATCCGGATCTTTACAACCAAAAACATAAAATCTATCTTAATTAAATGGCCTAATTCTCAAATAAATTTGCAAAATAAAGTATGACTAAAGACATTCATTTCATGGAAGCTCAAATTAACAGAGTCACATTAAATGCACATCATTGCCTGTTACACTGCACCTTAAAGATAGGTTAATAAATTGAATTTAACTTAACCACAATACTTTCACATGGGTTCTTTCCAGCTTGAAGGCGGTGGCAAGATGAGTCAAAACCCGCGGTCAACCCGCTTCGTTTGATTGTTGTCAAATGCCACCATATAAATGAAATTCACTTGACCTGAATGATCTGTATGGGTGCATATGTTAGAAAAAGGCAGCACAATAATAATATTACAGCAGTAATTAGTGCTATATGACAAACTAATAAAATACTAGAATTGTATCTACCAAAAGACTTCTTGGTTAGGTTAAACTGCACTATAAACAATGTTATTTGCCACATAATTCCATGATTCCAAAAGGCACCAACACTACAAACATGGCTGAGCGGTTCAGTTCAGTGACTCTGATTCATAAACGTGCAGCCTAAAAGACAATGACCAGCTACAACTGCTGGTGCTGACACACTTGTCAGCCTTATGATGTGCTGGTATACCCCATATGTGTTTTTTTTATGAAAAGGAGAAATATCCATAGAAATCAAAATGGCTTTTTGTGTCAGCAGTAAAGTTTTTGTGTGTGTTTATGGGGATTGACAAACTTTTGAAGCCACTGTCAGTGGCTAAAGAGAGCTTAGTTTTGCTGTAGTTTTTCAGTTTCAGAGGTTGTAGCTTGGACTGAAGCAACCAAAGAGGCAGAGGAAACTGTTTCTTTTAGTGGTTCATACAAGGCACTGCTCTACAGCCTGAACTTTGGCCTTGACAGGACATGCTTGGCCCGTCCGTCTTGTTCGCTCACACACTCATAGTTTTCAAGCTTGAACCACCAAATCAGTGAACAGCTACAGGTTTAAGGTGAGCATCCCAACTGAAAAGCCTTGCATGTCACCAGTGACCTGTTCAGTGAGACAACGAAACGTAGCAGGTGCCTTCCTCAGCCTGTAAGCTACTGGTTAGATAAGGGTGGAAAGCAGAATGGTAAAAACTCTGTGCAAACACTGACAGACCAGGGTTCAAATTCTTGCTGGAGCAGAGAGGTTTCACCTTCAACTCAGAAATCAATCAACAGCCCAGGCAGCGATGGCACTACATCCCGCTCGGTTTCGCTCACCATGAAGCAAAAACTCACATCATAAAAGGCCTCACTGATGCCTCCTTAACATATTTCACCCCACTCTGCATCCCAGCCAGCAGAGACCAACCCCAGCCGCTTTGTTAAATTATCTGTAAAGACTATAATACATGCACAGAGACACATGCCAAATCAGGACAAAGCCTTTCCTAGAGGGAGTTTGAACACAAAAGGAGACTGGAAAAAGTTTGTAACCCAGTTGAATTGAGTGCTGTATATCCCTTCCATCTCTGGGTCTGTCTATATTCGTCTGCCTTTCATTCAGTTTGTCTCTTTATTTTTTGCCTCTGTTCCTCTTTGTCTAGCATTTCTTTGTTCAGTCAACTGTAAGCCATTTCTAAATGCCACAGTCAGCGGCATCAGCAGCAAACTAAATCTCGCACACATTGTTCTCATATGCATCGTTTGCTTCATTGAACAAGAAATTACTTTGGATGTTCAGATTATCTACACGTCACAACCAAAATGTCAGACCACGACGCTTGA